TTGGACCAAAGTAATCACGAAGGCCCTAGGATCCACCAGTACCACGCACACGTCCTGAGTAATCAGGTTTTTCAATGACTGTCGCCAATATATCTTGTCAACCATGAGGAATAAATGATCCTTGGGTGGTCTGCTCAACTAAATCATCCTACAACACATTAACAATAACTAAATCATCACACAAACATTTTTTTCAACATGCATCACATCTATACAATGTCTAACTTCCAACTTACACCAATAAAGAAGATTGAAGAATATAGACTATTTCTTCCAAATATTTTTCTCATTGAATTTCTTTTGGGTCTTTCTAAATACAATATTAATATTTTTCACTTGCTCATATACTTGTTCATATACTTGTTCACCATTGCGTGGTACTGATGCAACTGCATTCTCTTGACATCCATTAAATGTTTTCTTCATTTTAAGATATGGATGATTAACAACTAGAAACTTTTTATGCCTATTGTATGTAATTTTTTGTCCATGTTTCAATTAGATATAATCTGTGTCTTCTTGACATAAAGGGCACGTTAAATGACCTTTTATACTATAACCGCTCAAATTACCATATGCTGGAAAATCATTTATAATACAAAATAACATTGCACGCAACCTGAAATTCACTTCGTGATATGAATAAAATACCTCAACTCTTATTTCCCACAACATCTTCAAATCATCAATTAAAGGACTAAGATATACATCTATGTCATTTCCTGGTTGTCGAAGTCCTGAACTCATCATATAATTCTGGTCATTGAATAAATGATATTTTGAGTAATAACTATTTCATTTTTCTTCCTAGTCTATTAATAACGAAAATGGATTCTTCTGATATAAAAAAAAATTCCAACAGCTCTTGCTACTATAACCTCCCCAACCACGTTTTTTATACTTTTTTTTTTCTAAATATTTAACCTCAAAATCATAAATTGTATTGATACTAGATATCAAAAAATATAAAATAAAAATAGTAAATGAAATAGGACAATATAACATAATATATTTTCTTTTCATGCATAACCAAGGAGGCAAATTGTAAATGATCAACAAAACTGACCATGAACTATGTTTACTACTTAAATTTTCATAAGGATTCATCTCATCTGTAGCCAATCCAATTCTCAAGTTTTTTGGCTCTGCACCAAATTCTGGAAAAGTTTCATTAATCCTTTTCCATTATGGAGAATCAGCTGGATGTCGAAGAAGATTGTCACATTTTCTACCATTTGCATGCCATGTCAAGTTTCTTGCCTCTTCTTTTATGACAAATAATCTTTTAAACCTAGTTATAATTGGCAAATACCATAACACCTTAGCAGGGAGACCATCTAGTTCTTCCTCACCACTACTTTCCTCAACTTTGTTTTTGAACCTCGACAAACCACATGTCAGACACATCTTTAATTTAGTAAAATCATTTCTGTATAATATAAAAATTAGGATATGCATGTATCTTCTTGTACTCTAAACTCATTGGACATAATATCTTCTTTGCCTCATAGTTACAAATAGGTAATGTATTATCTTCGGGAAGCATCTCTTTCAACAACTCCAATAATTCGGTGAAACTTTTATCAGTCCATCCATTTCTTGCTTTTAAAGTAAACAATCTTAAAGTTGTTGATAATCTTGTAAAACTACATCCTATGTACAATTGTTGCGAAAAATCATATTTCAAAGAATCATATAGATGTATTTTCATAAAATTTTCTTCACCAATATCACGTATCATATCCTCTAGATTATCATACATCCCTTCATCAAAATTGTCTGTAATTGACATAGTTGGGATGTCTAATATTTCTCCATGTCATATCTATATTATATAACTCTTAATAATACCACAAACAAACAAGTTATCACGTATATCCTTAAATTTATGACGAATTTGATTCAAACAACGAACACATGGACAATAATATATCCTTTTCATAGCTTTTCCATTTTCACTAGCAAATTTCAAAAATTCTTCAACTCCTTTTTCGTACTCTTTACTAATACGACGTGCATTCTTCCAATTTTGATTCATATTATGTTATAAAGTTTCGTCACTCCTAGAGATTCAAAATTTATATTTAAAAAGAAATTAATATACAAACAACAAAACACGTAAATGGAGTATGTAAACCGAAAATGCACTCAAACAAATAAACAAATAATGACATTCCAATAACAATCCAGTGGAGACATTCATACAATAATGTGATTGAGATCCCCAAAAACAATCACGGATTCAATTTAAATATATATCAGAAGACATAGAACACTAACCTCGAGTATACACGAAAATGATTTCAAACTCGAATCCAATCGGGGAGAAATGTCAAATTCGTAAAATGAAACACAATGTTGATGTTTTTCACTGTCAAAATGATCAAAAATGGTGTGGAAAGGTAGTTGTCGTCGTCGTTCTCATCGTCGTTCTCAAAAACTCTTGCTGCGTGAGACAAGGGAGCGGGTCTGGAAGAGAATAAAAGACACTTTTTACATCGCATCCTAGGAGGTGATGTAAAAAACCCTCTTTTACATCACCTCCTAGGATGTGCGACGCAAAAATTTCACCTCTTATTTACAAAATTGTTACCGCATTTTATTTACGTCAAATATTTTTGCATGCGACGACAATTGGGTGACGTAAAAACCCTTTTTTGCACTAGTGGAAGAGCAGGACCAACTTGCTCTAATACCAACTTAAGATTAATAGAGAAAAAATATATCTTCAGGGCTTATGGGACCCTTCTCCCTTTCTTTTATTTATAATGAAAATATGATACAATAAGACATAGAAGACTAAGAGAATACAACTAGGACTCTAGGTGCAGATCTAGATACAGATGTAGGAGATTTTCCACACTTAACACCCTATACTTAGGTCTAATGATAATACTAGGAAATAATGATTCTAACAAAAATCTACACACAAATTACATTTCAACAAACTAAAACTCTAACAGCTTAAAAATGTTATAAACAGGTCACCAATGGAAGATGAACGAAAGAAAATTGTTCTATATAATCGAGAAAACATATTCTTAGACATTTTGTTTATTGAGCTAAAAATTGTTACAAATTGTTGATTTTCTTGAAGTCAAAGAGCATGAATCAGACCTTTAACCTTAACTTCACTTTCAGTCTATACAAGGTGAACAAAACTTAACATGAATAATAAGAACTTATGTTATAAGCATATTTTGAATAAAGGCCAATTTATAATAAACCCATGACATTTCAAGTCATTTCACTACAAGAAAAATAGTTTTACTGATGAACATAATCCGTTGGTAATAGAAAATATTCATTGATAAATGAATATTTCCAACAAATTATTGACGATTAATAACCTGTTGGTAAAATAATTGTCGCTAAAATTTACCAATGAAATTTTTATGTCCGTTTGATAATTATTGATGGATTCATATCCGTCACTAATTACCGATGGATTCTGTTAGATATTATTTAGATATTATTTAATATTGTTAAGATATTGTTAGATATTAATCATAATATCAAACAATATCTTCTGTTTATTCTGTTACTTTTTTAGTTGTATCTCTCTACTATAAATAGATTACCCTATGTGTGATTTATACACAAGGGAGATTAATCTCAAACTCTATTTCTACTATATTCAACATGGTATCAGAGCTTTGAGGCGATCAATAGTACCATCAGGTCCAACTTTGATAGCAAACACCCACCTACAACCAACAATAGATTTCCCAGACGATAACGAGACCAATTCCCAAGTTTTACTATTATAAAGAGCACTTAGTTCATCTAACATGACCTGACGCCAACCAGGATGGACTAAAGCTTCACGGACAATTTTTGGAATGGTCACAGAAGAAAGAGAGGAAAGACATGTATAAAAAGGTAATGACAGTCGATGATAACTCAAACCAATATTAGTTCTAATCCCGTCTTTCATAAGAGGACCAAACACATTGAGATTGATTGTCATTTCATTCGAGAAAAGATTATGTCTGGAGACATCAAGACTGAGTTTATTAACTCAAGTGATCAGTTAGCAGATATTTTTACTAAATCTTTACGGGGTCCTAAAATTGATTATATTTGTAACAAGCTTGTCACATACGATTTGTATGCTCCAGCTTGAGGGGGTGTTAGATATTGTTTAGATATTATTTAATATTGTTAAGATATTGTTAGATATTAACCATAATATCAAACAATATCTTCTGTTTATTCTATTACTCTTTTAGTTGTATCTCTCTACTATAAATAGACTACTCTATGTGTGATTTATACACACGTGAGATTAATCTCAAACTCTATTTTTTCTATATTCAACAGATTAATTCTCTTTTTCTAGCTTCCCATAGAACCTACATTTGAATAATATACTCCGAAGCTATATTTCAATTCGAGTATCTACCTAAATCAATCAAATAATACATAATAAGATAAGAAATAACTAAACAAAAATAAATTCATTTATTAATAACTAAAAAGGTTAAGAAATACAAATTGAACACTAATTCATGGTTGTGCTATAGATTTAGGTGAGCAAATTGTGGCAAAACCCTATCAAAATCACATATGAAAATCACTTATCTAAATTGTTACGAGATAGAAACACACAATACTATTTAATTCTCAATGTGTGAAAAATTTGTGCTAACATGATATTTTCTTGTCAATGAAAAAATACCAGTAATTAATAGTGTACTTGTCATCCATGGACAAACATAATAAATGAAAAGGGATATAGGTTACAATTTTCACATTACAAAACCAAATATGTTTCTTACCGAACAACAATTATCAAAGGACTTTGAACCATAACAACCAACCACCCTAGCTACTTTATTGACCTGGTCATTCATCAATGTCAACCCATATAAAAATTTAAATAGACAAACCAAACATGCAATATGACTTAAAATAAAATGACTAATAAATGTTTGTCACCAACATTATTCATAAAACACTTTATTGTTCATTGATATATGGGGTGTTCATGTTCTAACATTTCTAAAGGCCAATCCTAAAGTCATTTGCCATAGGATTATGAGGTATGATACTGATATGTTGTACGCAGAATGCTGCATTGCTACGTTTTTGTTACATATAATAAACATAGAGCAATTAAGAAGTAAATTTTATTGGTGGAATGTCACATAGATGCTCACGGTGAGTGACAAGTGGAGTTTCATGGTTTGAATAGATCAGGGGAGTGGAGTTTATCCTCCTTAATAGTTCCTTTTCCCATTTAAAGACATTATGAATAAATTAGGGGAGTGGAAAGCAGTAGAGATAAAAAACTTGAATCCATGGTCCGAAATAGTGCAGCAACTGCACCAAAGTTTAATTAACTCTGATGATAACTAATTGTTCTTATTCTTTCCTTTTAGAATGAGTCTGTTGTATAAATAAAACAATAATGTATGAACAAATTTGTACAATTTGTTTTATATTTTCTTAAAATTCATAATTTTAATTTATATGTTGCAGTGAAGTGTAATGTGCTAAACTCAAGCAAAAGAGCCAACTAAGGACTTGGAATATTTTTATTCATTCAGAGGAGCAGAAAAATAGATGAGTAGTGTCAAATTGAAAGACTTTAGTGTAATAGGTACAAGTAGGATCAAATAAATCATTCAATACCACAATTGTACAAGTAACACTAGATTGAGACCTTGCACCTATAATCACCCTCCTTAATGTATGTAAACATATTACTCAATGTGTTATTCAACACACCAACCCTCACATGGCTTCCTTTTAATCTTTTCTAATCCTCTTTCTTGTTGCCCTTATCCCCAATCCTCAAGGTCTTGCCACTTATAAAAGTTCCCCATTCACAAGCATCTAATTTACAAGCCTCCAGTTTATAACCATCTAATTTCATGATATTATTTTAGGAATTAGACAATGAGCGCTGCATGACTTGTGCCAAGGAATGCATAAAAACCATAGCTACACATTTTATCAAACCCTTGGTGGGCAAACAGAAACCAGAGCTACCCATATCATAAATAATGTATAACAAAAACAAACAAAGCAGATCAGTTCAATCACAAAATAACTCAAATCACATCAAATAAATAAATGTTGCCTTACTAAACAAAATATGACAAGTTTCCAAAAATTAAAATTGAAAATGTACCTTTAGAAAACAAACAACCAATATACTCAATTGACTATTCTAGAAGAGTCCGTTGAACTCAATTTACCTGCAAAAGAAGAGGAATCAGTAATTAAGGTTAATAACTTACACTTTAACAATTTCTACATTATCAAAACCCACACCTCTTAATCCAATTTCCCTACTAACGTTTTTTGCTTGTTGGTCACTGTTGTTGAACTAGGGCACAAAGGGAAAGAAAAACTAAAATGTTTTTTACTATGCAAAGTAACTTACCAACGAACCTAAAAATTTTGACCGACGGACAAATTTATCGACGAATTGTTATAATTCGTCGATAAATTCAACTCAAAATTGTTATATTGTCGATAATGAATTGTTAAATTACTAATATATCCATCAATAAGATTAAATCTCTGATAAAATTCATCTATAATTGTCTATTTTTCACAGAATAGTGTCCATTAGTAATTAATCATTTTTTTTAGTGTTTTCAATTTTATATTTAAAGTTTATTCGCAGCACTTGAGCCCCAAAGTTTTTGTTAGATTGAAAACATGAAGTTTTCTTAGTCTTTAGTTCTTATAGTTCATGTGAGAAACAAGTGCCCTAACTAAAAATAGAGATGAGTAAAATTGAAACCCTAAACCCTAAATTAATTACAGGAAAATGTTACCTTAATTTCATCTATGTCCTAACAAGTTCAAGTACGAAGCAGTGAGCGAGAAACTTCAAGGCAGAAATAGCCAGTGGAAACTTCAAGCAAGAAACAGTGAGAGAGAAGCAACTATCTAGAAGCTTCCAGCAATAACCAGTGAAAGGGGAGCTTTCAACAGAGAAACAACGAAAGGGAAGAGATGAGTGAGAAGTAGTTGAGAGAAACTCCAAATAAAGAAGGTTCGAAGTAGCGGGAGGCACCAATGAGAATGAGAGGGACTCAACATTCTTTTCAAATAAATTCAAAACTTTAAGAAGATTATATAAATATAAAAAGTTGAATGATAATAAATACTAATTTTATACTATTTTTTTTTAATTTTTACATTAAATTAACTTTAATAACAGTTAAAATTGATTAACAACATTATATGATTTGTAATGGTTTATTGGAACTGCTAAAATTAAAACTATAATAATTGATTAATTATTTGTAAATGGATGATGGTGTTATTGATAATTCATTATAATTGTAGGTAGGGTACTAGTGCTAATTCACTACGAGTGGTGCAGTGGTGGTGTTTCGGTGAAAATTTGATTGATTTCGATTTATCGGGAGTTAACACTACTAGAAAAATGTCAAATAAGTAACCGAAATCAGTGATCGAAAAATTTAGTTACTATCGATGACCGAATCAAGTAACCAAATTATTATTTTTTAGTCTAGTAATCGAAATAGTAACCGAATTTTCGGTCACAAAAAATCGGTTACTATTTCAGTCACTTTATTATTTAGTAACTCGATTTAGTGACTAAAATTTCGAGTCACTAAAAAAATAATTTTTAAACTGATAACTATTTTTCATTTATATAAATATTTTATTTAAAATATTTTAAATATAAATTTACTTAATGATTTAAAATAATTGATAACATTTTTAATAAAATTATAAATATTTTAAAAAAATTGTTTACTAACTTATTAAATAATTTAGTAATATAATTATTTGATTTTATTTTTTAATTTAGCATGTGAATAAAAAAATTAAAATTGATTATTAAATTAGTCACCGAATCGATCATCGATTCGGTCACTGAATCGGTCACATCGATTCGGTCACCGAATCGATCATCGATTCGGTCACCGAATCGGTCACTAATTCGGTCATCTGATTCGATCATCGAATCGGTCACTGATTCGGTCATTGATTCGGTCACTGATTCGGTCATCGATTCGGTCACCGATTCTATGCATCGATTCTCATCACCGATTCGGTCCATCGATTCGATCATCGAATCGGTCACTAAATCAATAATTAAATTAATTATTAATTTAGTCTCTTTATATATATATATATATATATATATATATATATATATTACTTGTATGTTAATAAAAATGTATTTCAATGTATTTATAAAAAATTAAAATTATTTTAATTACTTGAATTGATATTTTAAATTTATATTAATATCTTGAATAATTTAATAGTTGGATATATATATATATATATATATATATATATATATATATATCACTTTAATTTTTTTAATTAAAATTAATTTCATAAAAAAATTAATATTTGAAAATTAAAATTAAAATATATATATATATATATATATATATATATATATATTTATTTATTTTTTAAAGATGATATATTCAATGTATGTTAAAAAAGTTCAAGCCAAACTGTTTTTATAGAAGATTTTCAAAACTCATTGGTTTAATTAATCTGTTAAAAGATTCTTTTAATATGTTAAAAGTGCAGTTTTAATCTGTTAAAACTTCTTTTAATCCATTAATACGTTCTTGATTCTTTAACAGATTTGTTTTAACTAATACTGACAACGTTTATATCAATTAAAACACTTTACAAAAAATCTTCTAAGTTGATTTAATCGATTGTTCGCGATTTAATCGATTGAAATACTTGCAAAACTTTCTCCTAAAACTTTTCAAGTTATTTTAACTGATAAAAATAAGTTTTAATCGATTAAAACGTTGTGCAGAACTGTTTTAATCGATTGAAACGAGATTTAATCGATTAAAATAGTTATGATCGGTCATAAATGAATTCTGACCGATCATAATTGAAACCATATAATAGCGGTTCAAGGGTTAACCGCTATCTAAGTCATATTTTAAGAGCGGTTCCTGGGTAACCGCTATGTAAACCTCATCTCGCTTGAGCGACAATATTCTCGCTCGAGCGAAACACCCCTGCACAAAATTAGTACTCTCGGGTTGTATTTCGCTTGAGCGAGCCTATCTCGCTCGAAGCGATAATTGATTCTGATCGATTATATTTTTGAAATGATCGATCATATTTGGTAATTTTTTCAAATAATTAATTATAATCGATTAGTTTTCTAAATTATTGATTAGAATTGATTAGTTTTTCAAATAATAGATTAGAATTGATTAATTTCTGAAATATATACTAAAAAATATAATTAAAACTATAAATTAGTTAAGAATATTGACTATTGTAAAGATAAAGTAGAAACATGGGAGGAGATGAGGATGATAATATAATGATAGAACTTACAAAAATGTAGAATTGAGAAGTTTGAAACAAATAAAAATAAGAAAATAGATATTTAATTACACTTTTAAAAAATTTAAGATAATACTAGTTTTAATTTTTATTTTTAAATATTTATTTTAAATATTTAAAACAGAGAAACTATAATTTTAGTTTCTAGCTACTGAATTTAAAGAATTAAATTTATTATTTAATCTTTTAATTTGTAGAATTAAACTCAATATAATTGTTAAAAATACTTTGTAGAGGCATTTGAGAAAGCTTTTGTCAAAATACTTTGTTTTTAATTGTTAAAAATATTTGTAGAGGCATTTTGCAAAACATAATTGAGATGATATGATAGCGGTTCCACCTTAACCGCTATCTAAAGTATAATTAAGATAGCGGTTAATGATTAAGTGCTATTAGAAGTTCACTTTTAAGAGCGGTTCCTGTGGAACCGCTATCTAAAATGTATTGCGCTTGAGCGACAATATTATCGCTCGAGCGAAACTCCAAGTGCACAGAATTCGCATTCTCGGGGTGTATTTCGCTTGAGCGACACTTTTCTCGCTCGAGCGAAATACGAACCTGATCGATCATAAATTGAAATGACCGATTATAATTGAGAGGATATAATAGCGGTTCCCTCGAACCGCTATCTAAAGTGCATATTAGATATCTGAGGTGTATTTCGCTTGAGCGAGACTACACTCGCTCAAGCTGAAGTCCGATTCTGATCGATTATATTTTCAAAATGACCGATCATATTTGATAATTTTTTCAAATAATTAATTATAATCGATTAGTTTTCTAAATTATTGATTAGAATTGATTAGTTTTTCAAATAATAAATTAGAATTGATTAATTTCTGAAATATATACTAAAAAATTATAATTAAAACTATAAATTAGTTAAGAATATTGACTATTGTAAAGATAAAGTAGAACATGGGAGGAGATGAGGATGATAATATAATGATAGAACTTACAAAAATGTAGAATTGAGAAGTTTAAAACAAATAAAATTAAGAAAATAGAGATTTAATTACACTTTTAATAAATTTAAGATAATACTAGTTTTGATTTTTATTTTTAAATATTTATTTTAATTATTTCAAACAGAGAAACTATAATTTTAGTTTCTAGCTACTGAATTTAAAGAATTAAATTTATTATTATTTAATCTTTTAATTTTAGTATTAAAATTTTAAATTATATTTTTCTACTTTGAGAATGAACCATATAATTAAACTCAAAATTGATAATATTATAATACATTTTTGAACTCTTTTGGATTAATTTTTTTTTCCTAATTTTTGACAAAGTTAATTTTAATATTTAAAAGTATTTAACATTTTGAATTCTGAAAGGTTTTCTCTAATAGAAAATTTAAAAACATAATATAAAAAAAATAGTTAATATAAGTTTTCAAGTTATTTTAACTGATAAAAATAAGTTTTAATCGATTAAAGCAGCTGTGCAGAAATTGTTTTAATCGATTGAAACTAGATTTTAATCGATTAAAATAGTTATGATCGGTCATAATTGCATTCCGACCGATCATAATGGTAACCATATAATAGCGGTTCAACGGCTTACCGCTATCTAAGTGAGCTTTTAAGAGCGGTTCCTGTGTAACCGCTATCTAAAGCTGTATTTCGCTTGAGCGATAAGTTTCTCGCTCGAGCGAAACTGCCCCTGCACAAAATTGGTACTCTCGGTGTATTTCGCTTGAGCGAGTATAGTCTCGCTCGAGCGATAATTGATTCTGATCGATTATATTTTTGAAATGATCGATCATATTTGGTAATTTTTTCAAATAATTAATTATAATCGATTAGTTTTCTAAATTATTGATTAGAATTGATTAGTTTTTCAAATAATAGATTAGAATTGATTAATTTCTAAATATATACTAAAAAATTATAATTAAAACTATAAATTAGTTAAGAATATTGACTATTGTAAAGATAAAGTAGAAACATGGGAGGAGATGAGGATGATATAATATAATGATAGAACTTACAAAAATGTAGAATTGAGAAGTTTAAAAAAAAAATTAAGAAAATAGAGATTTAATTATACTTTTAATAAATTTAAGATAATACTAGTTTTTAAACCTTTTTCTAATATTTGTTTTTAAAAATATAATATCATTTTTAATATTTTATAGATTTTATATTTATATATTTATAAAAGTAATTGGATTAAATTTATTATCCTCTCATATATTATTATACATTTAGCGTAATTTTAGTTTATTTAAAAATTAGAATACAAATATACTATACCAATATACCATTATATTATTTTTATTGTATATAAATTACAAAATTAATAATTTGTATACTATACTATACTAACATATTATTTGTATACTATACTAATAGTATAATATACTATATTATAATATTATTTGTATACAAAACTAATATCTTTATATATAAATATATAAATATGGAAAGATATAAATATATGTAAAAATATAAACATATAAATATATATAAATATGTAAAGATATAAACATATATCTTTAATATTTTGTAAATGTAAATATAATTTATATATATTTTTAAATCTTTTTCTAATATTTATTTTTAAAAATATAATATTATTTTTAAAATTTAATATTTTTTTCAAATATATAAATATATAAAGATATAAATGTATAAGGATATAAATAAATATATAAATATATCAAAATATAAAAATATAAATATATAAATATATTAATATATAAATATATCAATATATCAA